AGAAAACTTGAACTATATAATATGAGGTAACTATAACTCATTATCCTAAAAGTATAGTCATTAACACATTACCGACCGATAGCCTATTAATCGACTGTTTTACCGACCGATAGCCTATCAATCAACTGTTTTATCGATCGGTAAGCGTTGGCCGGTAAAACAGTTGATTGATAGGCCCTCAGCCGGTAAGCGTTGGTCGGTAAAACAGTCGATTAATAGGCTTATCGGTCGGTAAAGTGTTAATATGACTATATTTTTTCCTGGAATCGGTATTTCTACATAAACTATCACAATGAATCATGAAAAAAATGTTTACCGACATGGGGATTAGGTTAAACGATGAAAGGAAGGTGTCGGTGACCGTATCCCGGGCGAGGCGAAGGTCAGCGACGGAAACGGAAGTAGGGAAACCAAGAACGAGCACACGATAGCAACGAAATTGATGAGAACGTCTTAGCCCGAGGGGCTCCAGGGCCTCCTTCCTTCGCGCTTTTGTCTCCGCTTTCGTTTCGGTTGACTATGACAAATAATTGCCGAAGCTTAACATAAGCCAGAGGCGGTATACTTAGCTAATAGCAAAAAAGAGGGGGCGGAATAGAGGGAAGTTTTACGCGTACGCGTCCAAACTCCTCTTTCCGTTCCAGCGTGCTACACAATCGGAAGACATCTCCACCTATCCTCTCGAAAAACTTCCATTCCGCGTCTGGCTGCGGAAAAATTCATAATTTTTCCACTTTGATGCCTGGAAAAATAGACGATGTTTGTCGAATAATAAGAATTTGGGATTTTGTCTATCAATTCACTTAAATTTCTCTGATTTAAATGAATTTTTATCTTTCACACTTTGACTGTGGCGCGCCCTGGGAAGAGTTCGTCCACATAGATGGCGCGATCGTCGCGTGCCTGACGCTTCGAGTGTTCAAAGCTTGGAATCCACACTGGTTTACCAAACGAAATTTTCTTGATCATACTCGAGTTTAATTGCAAGAATGTTTTTTTTAGCGTACAATAAAACCGCGAATTGGAACGCGAGAATAAGAATTTGGGATTTCGTCTATCAATTCACTTAAATTTCTCTGATTGAAATGAATTTTTATCTTTCACGCTTTGACTGTGGCGCGCGTGGCGGATATTCGTCCCTGGTCGAGTCCGCCATTGTTTAAAGAGGCTTTCCACTTTGACGCCTGGAAAAATAGACGATGTTTGTCGAATAATAGGAATTTGGGATTTTGTCTATCGATTCACTTAAATTTCTCTGATTGAAATGAATTTTTATCTTTCACACTTTGACTGTGGCGCCCCCTGGGAAGAGTTCATCCACATAGATGGCGCGATCGTCGCGTGCCTGACGCTTCGAGTGTTCAAAGCTTGGAATCCACACTGGTTTACCAAACGAAATTTTCTTGATCATACTCGAGTTTAATTGCAAGAATGTTTTTTTTAGCGTACAATAAAACCGCGAATTGGAACGCGAGAATAAGAATTTGGGATTTTGTCTATCAATTCACTTAAATTTCTCTGATTGAAATGAATTTTTATCTTTCACGCTTTGACTGTGGCGCGCGTGGCGGATATTCGTCCCTGGTCGAGTCCGCCATTGTTTAAAGAGGCTTTCCACTTTGACGCCTGGAAAAATAGACGATGTTTGTCGAATAATAGGAATTTGGGATTTTGTCTATCGATTCACTTAAATTTCTCTGATTGAAATGAATTTTTATCTTTCACACTTTGACTGTGGCGCCCCCTGGGAAGAGTCCATCCACATAGATGGCGCGAACGTCGCATGCCTGACGCTTCGAGTGTTCAAAGCTTGGAATCCACACTGGTTCACCAAATGAAATTTTCTTGATTTTATAAAATAAAATATAAATAATATAATATAATATAAATATAAAAAATCTAATTAAATTGCAAAATATCTTTTTTCAACGTACAATAAAACCTGAATTTTATGAGAAATAAAATACAACAATTTTCAGGTTTATTAGCAAGTAAATGTTTTAATAAAAAATCAAAGAAGCTTTTTATAGATAAAATCACACATTTTACCAAAAGAAGGGTTTACTGTTTTTCATGAAATTCCATTATATGTTTAAAATATTGATTTAAATTGTAACACGAGGTCTGTTAAAAAAATAACCTCGAAATAGAGGATCGAGAGTGCAAAATGGCGGGTCTTCGGTGAGAAAATTCAGGAAAAATAACCAGGAAGGATCGTTTCGGCGTCGTTCAAGCATCGCGGGGGCAAAACCTACGTCCCGATCGGGCCTTCCAGTATCGCGAGAAAGGATTCCGTGGTCGAAGACAAAAGAACAAGCCTCTGAGAGAAAGAATGGAGTCCCGGTTATTTCCTGCTCGATGGAAAAACATTTCGGAAAAGTCGGTGGACCGTGACGTGCATTTCATTCGATTCCGTGGCCGGCAGGCTGGATCCCCCCCGTATACTCGCGCATAAGTTGCTCGTGAAAGGATAGACCCTTCGTAAAAGAATGGACGAAGTAAACTTGGAACGGCTCGTGCTAGGAGAAAAGTCTCTTTCGAGGCGGGGGAAAGTTATTTTGCGCTGGACAAGAACTAATATTCGAATTGCAAGAACCGAATAATGCTCGTACGTTGATATTTCACGCCGTGAAATTGGACTAAATGATTCTTGCACTTTTCGAGGATCGGAGACGTTTTTGTGAACAATTCTAATTGGAGAAAAATTGAAGAGAAAAAAGGTTTACGGTTTCTTGTGACTGATAGAACTAATCGATTTTCTATATTAATATTATTTTAGGAGAAATTAAGTGATCGTCAATTTTTTAAATTTAGATGGTTGCGGGGGTTAATTACAAGCATTTTTGGTGGATTGACATACCTTCGAAATCCTATCCTTTTTCGAGAAAAAAAATAGGGTTGGTGAAATTTTTCGGCGAAAACAAAATTTTTCAAATTATACTGAAAAAATTATTGTTGGATTCAGGGGTCAATTACAATCAATTTTGGTCATTAGACTTAACCACGGAATCCTACCCAGTTTCGAGAAAAAAATTCGAGAATGTATGAAATTTGTCGACAAAATTGAAACAATTCAAATCATTCTGAAAAAATTATATTCGTTCGCAGGGGTCAATTACAATCATTTTTGGTCATTAGACTTAACCACGGAATCCTACCCAGTTTCGAGAAAAAAATTCGAGAATCTATGAAATTTTTCGACAAAATTGAAAAATTTCAAATCACTCTACAAAAATTATATTTAGTTACAGGGGTCAATTACAATCATTTTTGGTCATTAGACTTAACGACGGAATCCTACCCAGTTTCGAGAAAAAAATTCGAGAATCTATGAAATTTTTCGAGAAAATTGAAAAATTTCAAATCACTCTACAAAAATTATATTTCGTTACAGGGGTCAATTACAAGCATTTTTGGTGATTAGACTTAACCCCGGAATCCTACCCAGTTTCGAGAAAAAAATTCGAGAATCTATGAAATTTTTCGAGAAAATTGAAAAATTTCAAATCACTCTACAAAAATTATATTTAGTTACAGGGGTCAATTAGAAGCATTTTTGGTGATTAGACATACCTTCGAATTCCTACGCACCTTTTGAGAAAAATATTCTTTGATGTGACGCTTCTCTGAAATTTTATGCGAATCTTTAAAATACCATAACTTCTGAACGGATTGAAGGATTTTAATGTTTGAAGCGGCAAACAACGCGTATTTTGGTGTAGAATATGTAGAAATTCCAAAAATATTCGAAAAGTTGTTCCTTGACCCCGCAAAATTAGAAAAAAACCCAATAAAAATGGTCCAATATTCAGACAGTCATAACTCCTACAATAGTGAACGTATCGTATTGAAATTTAGCACAGACGTAGAGCTCATGGATACCTACAAAAAAGTATTAAACAACTTTTCTGTACAGCGCCAAACAAATTTATTAAAAATGAAAAACGAATTTTTAAGAAAAATTGACAGATGTGAAATTTTTTGCGAAATTATAAATTTCAAATCGCTCTAAAAAAATTATTCTTAGCTAGGAGAGCTAATTACAATCATTTTTTGTGAATACATATACCTCTGAAATCCTATCCACTTTCGAGAAAAAAATTCCTTACCGAAAATCTAATTTCGACGAAAAAAAGAAATTTCAAATCGTTCTGGAAAAATTATATTTAGTTACAGGGGTCAATTAGAAGCATTTTTGGTGATTAGACATACCTTCGAAATCCTATCCATTTTCGAGAAAAAAAATAGTGTAGGTGCTGAAATTTCTCGCCGAAAACAAAATATTTCAAATCATACTAAAAAAATTATATTTAGTTACAGCGGTCAATTACAATCAATTTTGGTCATTAGACATACTCTCGAAATTCTACGCACTTTCGAGAAAAAAATTCGAGTAGATAATGAAATTTCTCGGTGAAAACAAAATTTTTCAAATCGTTTTGGAAAAATTATATTTAGTTACAGGGGTCAATTAGAAGCATTTTTGGTGAATAGACATACCTTCGAAATCCTATCCATTTTCGAGGAAAAAAATCGAGAATGTATGAAATTTTTCGAGAAAATTGAAAAATTTCAAATCGTTTTGGAAAAATTATATTTAGTTACAGGGGTCAATTAGAAGCATTTTTGGTCATTAGACATACACTTGAAATCCTATCCATTTTCGAGAAAAAAAATAGGGTAGGTGCTGAAATTTGTCGGCGAAAACAAAATTTTTTTGCCATTGTTTTGTGTCATCTGAAAGTGTTTTTCAAGACGAGTTCATCTGTGAAAAACATGATGAATTTCGAAGTCGTAGAAGATTGGGAATAAAATAAAAATTTTGAAGATTTTGAATATTTCATATAGAATTCTAATTATAGAAAATTTAAAGAGAAACAACTTTCACAGTTTCTTATTTCTAATAGAACAGTATACATCAATTTCCCATATTTATATCATTTTTCAAGAAACAAAGTGACCATCAATTTACCAATTGACGCTATTGTTTATTGTTCCAGGAACGGAATTGGTGCCAAGCTGATTTGCATCATCGAAAATCAGGGGATAGCCAATTGCCGTGTGGCGGGACGTTCAATAACGATAGTCGATTCAACATAAAATATTTTTGTACACGAGTTATTAATATTCTCTATATATATATTATATATATATAAATGATCTGTATATACAATAATGTATACAGATATATTAACGAAACACCACGCTGCTAACGTCATCGAGGAAACAAAATGGAGGAGAGTGTACTGTTTGGTCTTAATTATTATTATTATGACTTGTAATATTATTATTATTATTAACTTACGTGCATACTGGGAGTCGATGAAAGCTGTGGAACAGAAAACGACGGCGATCCAAAGACAATTTGATAATTATTTTCAAACTCTGTCGAGAATTGTAACGATTCGAGGATCGGAATGCGAGGTATGTGAGAATAATAAACACTTTACCGACGGATAAAACAGTTGATTAATCGGCTATCGGTCGGTAAACGTCGATAAAACAGTTGATTAATACGCTATCGGTCGGTAAGCGTTGGTCGGTAAAACAGTCGATTAATACGCTATCGGTCGGTAAGCGTTGGTCGGTAAAACAGTTGATTAATAGTCTATCGGTCGGTAAGCGTTGGTCGGTAAAACAGTCGATTAATACGCTATCGGTCGGTAATGTGTTAATAATATGTATTCGCGGGGTCGGTTCAGTGGAAAAAAACAAAAACAAGGGGAATAGTTTTTTTTTACAAAATAGATATTGTTCTTCGCCAGTGAAAAATAGAATTTTTCTACCACCGAATCGTGATTTCCAGAAATCTTTTCGAAATTGATGATGCCTTTATCGCGCGATCTAGTGGTAGTTAACGGACGAACGAGTATTTTCCCTGAAAACATGTAATAAATAATTGTAAATTAATCAAATCAAGGGAAAATATTCGTTGCTTAACGATTAAGAGTATTTAAAGAAGTAAGTATTATTTCGCCAATTTATTATTCATCGAACGACACGGTCTGATAAGAGGAATGAAATTGTAAAAAAAGAAACGAGGAAAAAATGAGATAAATATTCTAAGAGACTTCTGAATAATTCGCAGCGGTCGTTAAAAAAATTATGTTTATAGCGGAATTGTAACATACTGTCGAAGAAAGGTGTTAAATTATATTTCTCGAACCATCCATTCTTTTATATTCTTTAAAAAGATGAAAAAATAATGGAGAGTTCGAATGTTCACCTATTTTATCTTTGATAAGGTGCTGATAGGATTATTGTATCAATTTTGAGAGTCTTTATTCGAGCTAGTGGACGCGTACACGTTTTTACAATTGTAATGCGCGCGGCGAGCTGGTGCGCATGCGTACACGTTTTTACAATTGTGATGCGCGCGGCGAGCTGGTGCGCATGCGTACACGTTTTTACAATTGTGATGCGCGTGGCGAGCTGGTGCGCATGCGTACACGTTTTTACAATTGTGATGCGCGCGGCGAGCTGGTGCGCATGCGTACACGTTTTTACAATTGTGATGCGCGCGGCGAGCTGTGCGCATGCGCGTGTCTGTGTCTAAGGATTATACCGGTGCCAACGCGCGTGAGAAAAAAAATGTGTCGTGAATGGTTTATCGATATTCGTGATGTTGTGTGTCGCTCCAAGAGCTTTTACGCAGTTTTAATTAACCGTACGACTGCCTTTTGCCACATTGTTTCGTTTCGTTCGACATCGAGACATTATCCGAAATCCTGTCACTGTTATTACGTAGCGAATGGTTGCTGGCGCGTTCGTGGGATCTAGAAGTCTTAGGAATAATTTACTGTTCGTCGTAGAAATTGGAAATAAAAGGCACAGTAGTACTGACCATCGAGTTTTATGAATCCTTCGTCTTTTATGGTCCTTGTCACTCCGGATGAGTTCGAATTTGAGATTATGTTATTTTGTTCTCTTTATTCGACACGATTACGGTAGAAAAATTATAATGGGAGATTCTGGGGGGCAAAATAAGACGAAAATAAAGAATAGCAATTTGTTGTTGGAGGCTTCGTTAAAAAGTTATTAACAATTAAATTGAAAAATTTCAAATCGTTCTGGAAAAATTATTTCTAGCTGTGGGGGTTGATTGCAATCATTTTTGGTCATTAGACATATAGTCGAAATCCTACCCAGTTTCGAGAAAAAAATTCGAGAATGTATGAAATTTTTCGACAAAATTGAAAAATTTCTAATCGTTCTGAAAAAATTATATTTAGTTACAGGGGTCCATTACAATCATTTTTAGTCATTACACATATTCCCGAAATTCTACGGATTTTCGAGAAAAAAATTCCAGTAAACGTTGAAAATGGTCCAATTTCCAAACAGCCATAACTCCTGCAATAGCGAATATATTTCAATGAAACTTTTCCCCGAAGTAGAGCTCATGGGCAGCTACAAAAAAATATTAGACAACTTTTCTATAGGGCGTCAAATGAAATTACTAAAAATGAAAAACAATTTTTAAGAAAAATCGACACCTAAATTTTGTCGCCGAAAAAAAAATTTTTCAAATAATTCTAAAAAAATTATTTTCAGTTGCGGGGGTCCATTACAATTATTTTTGGTGAATAGACCTACCCCCGAATTCCTGCGCATTTTCGAGAAAAAAAATCGAGAAGGTGGTCAAATTGTCGTTCGACATCCACACCTTTAAACGTTAATAACTTTTTAACGAAGCCTCCATCAACAAATTGGTATTCTTCATTTTCGTCTTATTTTGGCCCCTGAAATCTCTCATTAAAATTTTTCCTAGGGTTGTCCTGAACACCCTGTATAATTATTTATTTATTTATTTATAGCAGAGTGTTGCAGGATACTTTGTGTTAATTATTGAATTATATCGTTGTAGTAACATTCCTGGACCTCGGTTTAAGCAGCAATGTACTTCAGGTAAGGTAATTTATTATTAAAAATATTTGCATTAACGTCTTGTTAATTATTAGATTTAAAACGCTTAAAATACAACAAATTTTTCCTCAGAACTTGGACATCGAATTTATTTTTCTATGTAAAATTATAGTTTCATGATTATTGCAACTTGTTCACCTGACTCTCTTTAAAAACATTTTTTTTTTTATAAATAATAATTAAATAATTGTCTGCACATTAATATATGACAAACTGTTCTCTAGATTTTATTTATTTAAAAGCAGAACATTGTTCCATCTATGGAGAAAATGGACAATTATTAGGGTCCTGAATTATTTAATATTAGGGCAAAATTTTTCATATAAAAAATAATGAAAATAGTAGAATGTGGAAAATAAAAGGAATGCTTTATATGTATAAGCAATAGAATAGTAATGATTAAATCAAAATTGATATAATAGCGGATTTACAGTTAAACTAGAATAAAAAAACAAACATTTTTAGAAAATTTCTAATTTATATATCCCCAGAAACGTCTAAATATTGCAGAATTGCAAGGTAAAGTTACGGATTTTATTTACACAGAGGAGCATGAATTTCGAAGAAAAATAGCTCTCGACAGGATTGCAAACATTTCAATTAATTATGGGGAATGTTTATAAAGCACAAGGTGTTCAACAGCCACAGAGAAGCATGGTGCGTTTCGTCAAGATTAAGACTCGCATGCGGGCCGTTCGTAACACGAATTAGGGAAAAAAAGCTTGATCGCCGTGGCATTTGTAAGGATTAGAAAGAAACGAAAAATTGGGGCTCAAGCGCGAGGAAATCTGGCGCGCCCTAATAATCTGTCGCGAATTCTCCAAACAGACGAATCTTAAACGAAATTATGTGTTTTTCGTTGGATCATTGAATTCATTGAATTCATCGAGCTGCAATTTATTCAACGTATAATAAAAGTAGCTTTTGATAACAAAATGACAACAACGAAAGTGTAATTCTTAGCACGCCCGCCATTGTTTGTACCCATAGAAATAGAAGGAAATCCCCGAAAATCGGTGGATGTTTAATTAATTAAAGCTCAGAGGAAATCTAGCCGGGCGTCCCCGACGATTTACAACGAAGTTTAATTATGCGGTGGCAAAGTTTAATGCAGTTAGGTCCATTGAACTGCCGGGCAAGATTGTTTTACGAAGTAAATGAGGCTATGATGACTCGAGGCTTCGGGACCACCTAGAAACCAGCCGTAGTCCTTCCACTCTTGCCTTTAAACTCCTTCGACAACTAATTAACGTGCAACACACGACGCCCCCGTTAGCTACAGCCTTCCATTTCGATCCTATTGTTCGGCCAGAAAATTCGGAACAATGTACGTCGTCGCAGTTTTTGGCGAATTCTCGTCACTTTGCTTCTCTTTGTCTCGCATTACGTCGTCTGCCTGCAAAAGAGTCAAAAAAACTGAATTCTCTGATGAAAATTGATTTTCTCAAGGTTCAGATCTAGTGAATTTTGTTGAAACTCTTTTTGGGGAATTTTTTGGGGAATTTTTTCACATTTTAACGTATCTTTGAGGAGTTCTTGTATTAACTTTCTTCAAGAATTTTTTGCAAGTAAACTATAGCACGTTTCATAGTGAAATTTGCAAGGTTTATTTATACATGTGTAAGTGACATTTTAGAATTTTTTGCGAATAATTCAACTCCCAAAGAACCACATTTTAGCGTATCTTTGAGGGGTTGATGTATTAACTTTCTTCAAGAATTTTTTGCAAGTAAACTATAGCACGTTTCATAGTGAAATTTGCAAGGTTTATTTGTACATGTGTAAGTGACATTTTAGAATTTTTTGCGAATAATTCAACTCCCAAAGAACCACATTTTAGCGTATCTTTGAGGGGTTGATGTATTAACTTTCTTCAAGAATTTTTTGCAAGTAAACTATAGCACGTTTCATAGTGAAATTTGCAAGGTTTATTTATACATGTGTAAGTGACATTTTAGAATTTTTTGCGAATAATTCAACTCCCAAAGAACCACATTTTAACGTATCTTTGAGGGGTTGATGTATTAACTTTCTTCAAGAATTTTTTGCAAGTAAACTATAGCACGTTTCATAGTGAAATTTGCAAGGTTTATTTATACATGTGTAAGTGACATTTTAGAATTTTTTGCGAATAATTCAACTCCCCAAGAACCACATTTTAGCGTATCTTTGAGGGGTTCTTGTATTATCTT